TCTTTTGTATTATTATTTTTCCCCCATTTATTTTCCCTCTTTCAAGACTTACGAAAGTAAAGGGTATATTGGTTATTTTAGTTGGCACATCAAGAAAACAAATATGATATGATTTCAATTTTATATTAGTTTTAAATCACTACAATTTTCAATCATTACTTTTCTTTAAAAAATAGTAATATCTAAGAGAGTATTTAAAATTCCCGAACACCCAGTAATTTTCAAATTGGTGCATTGCCAAAAGAAAAACTTAAGAAACAAGCACAATAAAAAGTAATATCTTGAAGTCGCAACTTGCATACTCTATCAATAACCCCTTTATAAAAAGGTTGCAAAGGATCGTAGAGACTATTTGATACTAACTGTAAAACCAGATAAACATAACTTACATAAAAAACATTACTTAATGTTTCTTAAAATATGCAAACCAGCTTTTTAATTCCGCACAAAGCCTTAGGAATTGAAAATCCCTTGAAAAGTATCTGAAAAAACCTTTTTATCCAAGATGTTTAAGACAAGGATATTTGAAATAAATATATATTTATATATGGTTCAACAAGTTAATTTCATGAATGATTTAAAACATTCCGAAATTTCGTTGGCACCTTCAATTATATCTGGACTTTTTGAAAAAATGGATCGAATGATCCAATTTCCATTCTCCCCGTTCCGAAAAAGTAAGGGTATGCCGAAAAAGACAGAGTCCATTGAACTGCAGGGGGGTTTGGGGTGGTGGGGGATTTTCGGGTGCGCTCAAAAGGGGGTCTGTAATGGGGCAAAGGGTTGGATGTGGGGGGCGTTTCAATGGAGGGATATACACACACATACATATATGCCCAGATACGTGCAGATTTTTGGCTTCCACTTGTTGTGTGTGTCTTCCGCCCTCTCGTTCTCCACAATCGATTTCATTGAAAAATGTTGGGTGCCTAGGAACAAAGCGAAAACAATATATGTATATATGTATATATACATATATACATTTATATATATATATATATATATATATATCTTTTATGTAGATACACAACCAAAATTGGTAAAATTAAAAAAAAAGGAATCAAACAAAATGAAGTCATAAAAACCGGGCAAAAGGAAATAAATAAAAAAGCGAATAACAGAGAATAAATATTAAGCAAACGGACAAAAAAAAGAACAACGAAAAAAGCCGAGATACAAATCTGTGTATTCGTCAGATACATTTTGTTGTTATTGTTGTATGTGTGTGTATTTAATCTGCAATGATCTCCAGCTCACAGACTTCTTGATGGAAAAAAAGGTCAAAGTATCTCTCTCTCCAACGAAAAAGAAAACATAAAATAAGCACACACACACACACACACACACACACAGTCGGACAAAAGAGCAAAAGAGACAGGGCAACAACAACAAAAACAGCAACTGTAAAGTTAAAGTCGCAGCTGGTTATGTTAAAAAAGAGATGGCAATATCGGGCGGCCAGCGAGTGGGAGGGAGAACGGTATAATAGAGGTGGTAAACAGTTACAATCGCAAAACCAGATACATACACAAAAGAGTTTTACTTTATATAAACGCCCGAAAAACATACAGACAATTCATACATATTTATGCATTTTATACACACACTTAAATCAAATATGTATGTTTTTTGTAAGTCCATGCAGAACATTTTCTAACCATAATTTATAAAAAATTTATTTTTATAATCTAGAATTGCAACTAAAGACTGAGATTCGGTTAATGGTTTTATACACCATAAAGATGGTAATATTTCAGTTATAATAACGGGTAAAATACAATAAGCTACAGAAAATAAAACTAGAAAAACTAGCCCATGGACCTACACTGTTATTTTTTTTTGTAATAAAATATGATACAATTACATCGCTGTTTCTTCCTGTGTATTGCCATTGTTCAATATGTGTAAGAAATAAAACCATTTTTAGAAAATCAACTTATAAAAATCGATGACCTTTGGAATGTTCTTAAAATATTTAAACTGCATACATACATATATTTTTAAATAAAAAAACATGATTTAGATGTTTTTCTCTGTGTATGCGTGTTTATTGGGTGTGTGTGTGTGTGTGCGTTTGTACATGGCCAATATACAATTTTGTGCCATCGGCCACCAAAAACTGAGGGCCGCAACAACAAAAGGCAAGAAAAGACAACAACCACAACAAAAGCTACAACTACAACCACAACTACAACAACGATTGCAGCAGCGAAGGTCGTCGCCGTCATTTTATATTGCTGCCACTGCCTCTGCCGCAGTCGGCGTAGCAGTCGGCGTCGCAGTCGACGTCGAGCATCGCAGAATTCCACATAGAAAATTGAGAAAACTGCATTAAATTTTCGTCTACACCGACCGCTCACCTCCCCACCCGCCGTCCCCTGCAGTTTCCACTATGCATCAGCCCGTTTCTTTCTCCCTCCCACTTTTTTGCCCACTTTTCCGTTTTCCCCTCTCCACCCACTCCCTCTCTATGCTCCTTTTTCGCCCGCTTGTTGTTTTGGCTATGATTTTGTTGCTTTTCCATTCACTATGACCAAAGTTTCATACGTACATACAAACATATTCAAGCACACACTTGCGGTCAACTTATTGGTTTGGGGTATTAGAAAGTTTTTCAAAATTTTTTAAATAAGATAATTTAATAGAAGAGTGACAAGTAAAAAAAAGGGTTTTCAGTTAAGGATCAGAAATGTTATTTGAGTAGAATATCATGTTTGTACTGTACTTATCTTCAACACACAAAGCTCTATAATTTGAATATTGAAAAATAATATTAAAAACTTTAAATGACTTTATCTTGAAATGCTATTTTTTGATCGATAAGCATCACAGAAAATAAACATTTTTTGGATGGAATTTGAATTTTTTTTTTACGTAACCTAATATTTTGTCCGAAACTGTGCATGTGTGTGTATGAATGTATGTATTCTGTATCTGAAGCTATTATAGCTGCACATAGATAATAATTCCATGGTATAAGATATACAATTCACATTTTTTATATATGTATTTATGGATGTATATACATTGTACATATGTATGCATGTTTCCATGATGAACAAGTAGAAAACGATGATGAAGAGGGAGAATATAGAGCTTTACTAGCTGCAAAGCAAAACTAGAAAGAATGGGAGCTACTTTTCGATCCGATCACTATCAGACCCCAAATAATTTTTCCACCCCAATCCGAAAATTCAATCTAGTAAAAGAAGAGGAAGCAAAAACAATCAAAAATGGCTGGCAAATTAAAAATACATTTACCCAACTTCAAGCCAAAACAAAAAATTATAAATCATAGCAAAAGAAAAACTGGGTGGAGAAAAGGGCAAATAAAAATAATAGCTGCCAAAATAATGGGGAGATGAAAATTATGGGGGAAGAAAAATAAAACTGCTGCCAAAAAGAACAACCGAAAATGATTGAAATTTAGAGAGGGATGGCAGAAAAAATAAGTTTAAAGCCTGATACGTAGATAAAAGAATTCTTTAAAAAATTATTCAAAATAATGTGTCAAGAAATAAAAAAAGAACAAAAGCTTACAAATTATTATAAATAAATATTTTAAAAAATTGGATCAAAAAAACCGAACATAAAGATTGGAGAACGAAAAAGCCAAGAGAGAAAGAGAATGAAAAACTACCCCTCGCCTTCTAAAACGTCTTCTTCTGCTTTCTCTTTTCTACTTGTCCATTCTTTTTCTTTTCTATTCTTTCTTTCCTCTTCCCTAGTCCCTCTTCTTTATTCCTTATTCTTCTGCTTCCCCTAGCAAAGTCCACCCCGTGAAACAGAGCAACAACAACCCCCGGGAACCCCGCCCACGCCCACTTTTCCTCCGCCCTTTTTGCCACCACTCCACACACACACACATACACAGATGCGATATATACAGACATAAATATGTATGTAAGTGTATTGGTTCGTTGCGCGGCATCGTTTCTCCTCCTCCTCTTCTCCTCTCTCCTTCTCCTCCTCCACTTCTCCGCCTCTTTATTGCTGTATCTGTATGTTCATGAAGCGGGGCCTCGGCAAGAGACTATTCAAGTTGTGTGTGCCACGCTCACTGAATATATAATATATATTTATATACATTCATACATACATACACATTTTTCCATATTTTCTTGTTTTTACTTTATAATTCGTTGTTGGTGGACTTTCTTTGTTCAAACGGTACCCAAGTATGTACATAGATACATTTATATGTATGCACAATGTACATTTTAAATATCTATTTAAGTATATCTACATAAAGACAACGGTATATGGTGTGCAAAAGGGTTAACGGTAATTCTCAATCCTAACCTCTCATTGCTTTCTACGACAGAAAGCTAAAAATAATGAGTTTATAGGTTAAGCTACTCTTGGTAAACAAATTTATGAAAAACAAATTTTTGTTTCTGATCTGGTTTCGAAAAATATAACTTTTGATTAAATATTGAAATGACTATAATATGATACAAGAAAAACATTTTTAAATTCACAAAGGTTAAGGGGATAAGGTTATATTCAATACAAACTACAGACTATCAAATAAGAACACCATTTTTATTGGTGGTGATTTTTAAGTACTCGTTTTTAAATAGTATTTCCAGGACATAATCATAGTAGTTTTATATTCAGCATAAAGAATGTGCTAAAAATGGTATTCCTCATCCATAAGTTTCCCGTATAACGACCAAGGATTAAACCGCAATTTAAGTTTCCCGCCCTTTAGAACGCAGTAGGAACTTTCAAAAGTGGCGCCAAAATGAAAACGATATTAAAGCGTTCTCACCTAACAGCTTTTTTGTTATCGTTTTCCTAAAGATACTCAAAGTTTGAAATTTTAACAAAACGTGAAGAATGACGGTGAGATAAATATTTATTTTTTTATCTTTGATGGGTACATATAAATTGAATTCAAAAAAATTAAGCAAACAATTTTAAAACCTGCTTTTACTTTTTCGATAGGTATTAAATCGACATGAGCTGATCGGTGAGAACAGTAACTTTTAGTGCAGTGCAATGCTCCTTTATCGGAAGCAACTTTTGACGCGGCTGCATCTTGGGCCTATCGGCTATTGCCGCTATTTCGCAAGTAACAAGCGTCTTAAAACCATGTGCGAAGCGGCTTCTCCGGCGGATCAGCGGAATGTGGAGGTAAAGGCACGGATTCCGGGCGGATCCGAAGTCTTCAAGGAGCGCCTGATCTTGGCCAAAACCCTAGGCGGAGGCCAAGATGCGGAGTTGATCGAGCAGCGGGACGTGTTCTTCGAATCTCCGCTGGGTGGACGCCTCAAGTTGCGCTATCTACAGGCGCCATCTCGCTCCCAGTTGGTCTTCTACGATCGCCCGGATGTGGCGGGTCCCAAGCTCTCCAAGTTCAACAAGACAGAGGTGGATGAACCGGAGGTGCTCGAGAAGATCCTCCGCCAGTCAAACGGAGTCCTCGGCGTCCTCGCAAAGCGGCGGCATTTATTTCTTCACGGACAAACGCGCATCCACCTGGACGAGGTGAAGGATCTGGGTCACTTCATGGAGCTGGAGGTGTGCCTGCGACCGGAACAGACCCTCGAGGAGGGTCAAGCCATTGCCGAGAAGCTGTCCAAGGAGCTGGGCATCCAGGAGCAGGACCTCATGACCGGCTCCTACTTCGATGCCCTGCGGAAGGTCCATCCATAATCTATATCAAAATGGATAGATAGCCTATATAAAGTAATAAATCCTTAGCCAAAAGAAATACCTTGTAAAATACAACTGCCAACTCATTGTTACACAAATAATGTTTTGAGATAATGGCACACTATAATAGTAATCTATTTAGTCTCAGCGATACAACCAAAGTACCCCACCACTCTCCAGTCTTTTCGAGCAAATTCATAGCCATTCACAATCCTTTAAAACTGCGATCAAAACCCCAGGCAAACACATCTGTACAGACTCCCTCTCCGCATTTAAATCCCATTTTGAACCAACTCGCAGCAACATTATAATCAACTCCCAAACACAAAAAAAATCCTCACTTTCCTGAACAAAAAAAAAATTATCCCATAGAATTAAAAATCTTAACCCTTGTTAGCCATAAGTAAAATTAAACATCTTTGTTACTATTACAACTTTCCAGTTAGCTTTTAGTTTTAAGCTTTAAGTCATTTTAAAAATCTTAACCACTGTTAGCCATAAGTAAAGTTAAATATCTTTGTTGTTATCCCAAATATTACCAAAATCCTCACATTCTTCAACAAAAAAATAATTACCCCTTAGAATTAAAAATGTAACCACTGTTAGCCATAAGTAAAATTAAACATCTTTGTTACCATTACAATTTACCAGTTAGCTTATAGTTTTAAGCTTTAAGTCATTTTAAAAATCTTAACCACTGTTAGCCATAAGTAAAGTTAAATATCTTTGTTGTTATTATCCCAAATATTACCAAAATCCTCACATTCTTCAACAAAAAAATAATTACCCCTTCAAATTAAAAATTTAACCACTGTTAGCCATAAGTAAAATTAAACATCTTTGTTACCATTACAATTTACCAGTTAGCTTATAGTTTTAAGCTTTAAGTCCTTTTATATATGTACATAAATAAAATTGTAATCTATTAAAAAACAGTTTTTCTAAATATGTAAGAAAAAATAACTATATTTAAATTCTAACACAAAGATGGTAAATTCTATTTCAGGCACAGTCTTTTAAAAAAAGAAGGCATTTCAGATTTAAAAGTAAACAAAATATAATAGTATACTTAAAGTAAAATAGCATTAACCACTCCAACCACAAGAAACACGTTTAGCACATATTAGGTATCTTTTATTTCGTGAGTTCTTGCAAAAACACAAAGTCAAACTCAAGTCTGGCAATGGATATTTACAAAATCGCTTTCGTTGACTACGCTAGTTGGTGTAAACAGAACTTAGAGCCGAAAGTTTTAAATGCAAAATGGTTAGAACGACGAACACAAGGATGAAGCGCGGCGGCCAGGAGCTTGTTAACTGTTAAACTAAACTTAGGCTTACGATCTAGGGCTTGAGGATTACACAGGGCGACGAATTGAGCCGATGGCCTGGGCCTTACGGTCTAGGATCTAGGAATTCAATGACGAAGTCAGCTTCTAGCTTCCTTCGTGCCTTTCTGTTTTTCTTTTGCTTGCTTATCTAATGGAGCGGCAAAATTCGTAAATTAATTTTGGCTTGGTAAAAGTCGTGGTTGTGTATGGCGCTTAAAGCTAGGAGCGAGGGAAGTGGGATCAAGATCAGGATCAGGATCTGAAGCGATATCCTCTAGCAGTAGGAGCCGATGAGGCTGATGGACAGCGATTCCGAGATGGGATCCGGCGCAGAGATCGGTTTCCAGTATAACCAATTGTAACTGACTGGAAATAAATAAATTTATTAAAAATTAGTGCACTTGTAAAGTGAAATCCCACACTGAATGGTTATGTTTAATGGAATTGCTTTGATTTTGTTTTCCTTATGCAATTATTTACTCTATCTATCGAAACCGTCTTAGAAAACAAACATAAATGACCCAACTGGGGTAATACTTATCAGAACATATTGATAAATACAAACTGATGTCACTCTGAAAGACCTTTTGCAATTATCGAATAAAGTTTAAAAATATCATATTTCATTTATAGGGAGATTGTCAAGATTATTAAATGGATCATAGAGCCAGTAAGCTGAAGATCCATAGACATAAAACATTGTCCATCTACTTCTTTTTGATGCACGAATATCAGTTAGCTCGTTTCATTTGGATTTCTTTTATTTTGACAAAAAGCCTTTACATCCGGACTACCTCTCCGCCCAAGAACATGACCCGCTGGACGATACTCACGCACAAAAGACTGGGTGAGTCGCAGGGACAGGGTGCGACAGCGGTGCCGGCACTCACTGGTGGGCCGCAGGATAATGAACCGCGTGCCCACCGCCTGGTGAACGTACACATTGGGGCACTCCGTCTCCGGCAAGGTGTAGGCTGGCGCCTGGGCAGTATCGATGGCCACATAACGCTCCAGGGCAACGCCCATGCTGGGCAAACGGGCTGGCCGGGCGAAAATGGGACGCAAGAGTCTCGCGGGCAGCATGCGATTGCAGCGCCACAGATTGTGGGCCTGCTGGGTCCAGCTGCTGTTGAACTGCCCGAAGAGATCCTCCAGATTGTGAACATCCTGGTTGGTGGAGAGCACACGGTACGCATCGCGCTGGAAGATCTGATGATTGCTGGCATAGATGTTGTAGAAGTGGCTCAAATCAATGGCCTCCAGCTGATTGCTCCGAAAGGCTATGGGCGAGCCCTCTGGCTGATGGCAACTCTGGCTCTGATCGTCCTCCGCTGGGAGACCACCACCGCACTCCTCACCCTCCAGCCAGACGCTCTCCACATCGGCGCACGGCCCACAGCTGAGATCCTCCAGCTGGTAGAACGGATTGCCCATCAAGCACGACTCGTCGTAGAGCTCGGTCAACTGTGGGAATCGTTGGATCAGCGGCATGGTCATCCGGCGCCACATGCGCATCCCGGGATAGACCATGGATTGCACCACGCGCTCCTGTTGGCCATTGGTGGAGCTGGTCGTCTCGTAACGGTAGGCGGCCACGCAGAGCGACACCAGCGTTAGGTAGAAGAGCCAGCAGAGGATCTGGCGACGCCGGTCCAGCAGATGATGCAGTACCTCCAGTTTAAGATAAGCCATCAGGGGGGCGGTGGGCGTGACGCCCGTCTGCCAGTTGCGCTGCCGGAAATACTGGAACAGAACATAGTTGTCGAAGCTCAGGGAGCGCACGGCATATCGCTGATCCGCCAGGCGGCGCAACTGATGCACTGCACCCGAATATCGCTGCAGGACCTGCTGGCGACTCAGTTGCACAAAGTTCAGGTCATAGTCCTCAAGATCGTAGTCCTGGCGCTCCTCCATGGCGCTCCACTGCGGTTCCGCTGTGTGTTCGCTGTCGTCTGTTCGGATTTCCCGCAGTGAATCAACGTTGATTTCCAGCACAAAGCATTCTATTTTTTTATTTATTTATTTTTCTTTTGTGATATGATATCGATGTCGAAAGGCGTTATGGTTATCGATAACGGGTTATAGTCGATATACCAAGGTCGTTAAAAAATACCAATTACAGTAAACTCTTTATGTGGTCGAAAAAATTTTATTTTTAGTTGATTTTAACGAAAACTAAAACTATACGTTAATATATTAAGTAACGAGATAATGTGATTGAGATAACTAAATTCTGTAAAAATGTTCATGTGTAATATTAAAACAAAAATATTTAGTTTTAGTGACACTATTTATTTTCTGATAAATACTGAAAGTTAACTTGAAAAAACTACTACATTGATTTTGGAAGTACTCCAGCCCTGGTCGTTATTGTTTTTTGTGATAATATTTTGATAACAGCAGTAATAATAATCAATGAATTAACGCGCAGATGTGAGTCTCCAGAACACCAGAAAAGATGGGGAGCTACGATAAACTGGAGAACGCAGCCCAGGAGCGGAGCCACCGGAAATGGGGCCTGAGAACTTTGATCTGCTGGAGTGTTTTGTTGACTTCTTTGTTGTGCCTTTTTGTGGGGCTCATCAACTCGGGATTTTTGGGACTCCAAATGGGAACTCAGAGAGTGGACTTGGGCCAAGTGGAGCAGCGACTGGTGTGCTACTATGCCAGAGGCGGAACCCAAAATCTCAGCCTTCTGGATGTTCCCGGCGATCTGTGCACCCACATCAATATCGGACCCGCCATCTTAAATAATGCCACCATAGTCCTGCCCGATTCCCTGATCCAAGTGCTGCAGAACGACAGCCGCTCCTTCCGGGCTGCCCATCCGCAGGTGCACCTGCTTCTCTGGATCGGAGGCGCCGACAGCGGCCGACAGTTCGCCCTCATGGTGGCGAACCATGCAATGCGCAAGGTGTTTCTACGCTCCCTCCGGGAAATACTGCGCACCTATCCCAGTTTGGATGGCATCGATCTGGACTGGGAGTTTCCGAGTGCCTACGATCGCGAGCGAATGCATCTCTCGCAGTTGCTCTACGAGATCAGGACGGAGTGGAGGCGCGAGAAGCGACCGAATGATATCCTTTCGCTGGCGGTGGCTGCTCCCGAGGGAATCGCCCTCTATGCCTATGACATCCGGGAGCTGAATCTGTACGCGGACTATGTAAATCTGATGGCCTATGATTTTCACTTCTACCGCGAGGATACACCCTTCACGGGCCTGAATGCTCCACTTTATGCCCGCTCCCAGGAGCGCTCCCTGATGGCCACGTTTAACATAAACTACACGGTGGAGTGGTGGCTGAAGAGCGGTCTGGAGCCGCAGCGGCTTGTGGTGGGTCTGCCCACCTACGGACACTCCTTTACGTTAGTAGCTAGAACCTTTTACAAATTGTTTACACCCTCTAATTTCACTCTTTAACCCCAAAAAACAGATTGGTGAATCCCCTCAACCACCGCATAGGAGCTCCTGCTTCCGGTTATGGCAAATGCGGCCATCTGGGCTTCACCACACTCTCGGAAACCTGCGAGTGCGCCTCCAAGTACTTCAAACCCACCTTCTCCTACGACGCTGAGACCTGTTCGCCCTATCTAAGCGCCCTACAGGAGTGGATCTCCTACGAAAACCAAACGAGCATCGCCTGCAAGGCCAGCTATGTAAAATCCCTGCATCTGGGAGGCGTCATGGTCTTCTCACTGAACAGTGATGATCTCAGGAATGCATGCAGCTACTTGCCAAACTTGGAATACAACCAGAAACCCGTCTTTCCTCTTACCCAGGCCATTAAAGAGATCCTAACGAAATCGGAAGCGGAATCACTGTGATTACTCTCTGTATTAAATGATATATATTTGATTTATTTGCAAGAGGCTGATGCTGCTGCTGCTGTGTCACAACCGCCTGGCCAACTGCTCGAAACAGAAACAGTTTTGTACATAGTCATAGACGATAACTTTATGTATATATAAGTATAAATTAAATTATCACAATCGATCAATTCATAATATAACTAGAAGGTGTCAACATACGCAAATCATAGATATATATATACTCGCATGTACATGGGTATGTGGGGATTGAGATGGAGATGGGTAAGTGGAAGTGGATTCCCCGACCTCGCTTGGCTAACCGATAAGTAGCTATATAGCATAGAAAGCATAATACATTTGCAACTGGGAATGGGCGACGGAGGGGGGAACGTTACGGTGGCCACGTACGCCGCAGACATGGCAACTCGGGCAGGGAGACGATCCTGCGCTCCGGCAATCATGTCGGCTTCGGCGGCCGTTGCAGATTGGGCGGCGGGGCGGCCAGCAGCTCGTCGATCTGCAGCTTGTAGGCCGTCTTCAGCTCGGTCAGGTCCAGCTCCAGTTCCTCGGTGCGCTCCACCTTCTCGCCGTACATCTGCAGCAGGGCGTCATAGCGATGCTGCAGGTCCTCGTATCCCTTCTCCATCATCTCGTACACCTGCAGTTTCTCCTTCATCTAAGATGGATGTGATACAATAAGGTATAATTATCCTTTGTAACTCTAGGAGTTTTTCCTACCGTTTCCAGTTCGATGGTCAGGTTAGATATCTCGCCGTCGAGAACGCTTCGCTCTGCCTGCAGCCGCGATAGTTCCCACTGCAGGTGGGTCAGCTCACCATCGCGCTGCTTCAGCAGGGCCTGCAGGTGTTCCAGGGTGCTGGTGTTGGCCGCCAGGAAGCTCAGGTGCACGCCCTGGATGATGCCCGATGGCTGGCGACCCGAGTTGGAAGCGCAATCGAGGTCATCCTGGATTTAGAATCAAATTTGAAAGTTTAAGAGGTTTATTAATAAAAGAGAGAAGACCAATTACCGCCTGCCAGTCGATGATGCCGCCCAGGGCCTCCTCGTTGGAGCCACTGTCATCCGCCAGGCTGAGCGGCGGCGAGGAGCGTAGTGGCGCCTGGGATTTGGGCAGCTGCATCTGCAACTGGGGCTGCAACTCGCTGCTGGCCTTCACGGCCTCCACGGTCAACCGGCTGGGCTGCTTGCTTTGCTCCGCCTCGGCCTTCTGCCTCTGGCACTGCTGCTCTAGGTTTGCAATTTGCTCCTGCTGCTGCCTAAGCTCCTCCTGCAGCTGGCTGATTTGCCTGTCGGAACAAGATGGGAGATAATATTACAATTAGAAAATCGAATAGATATATATATATATATGGACCCACTTTTTATGGTCGCTCTCCCTGCTGTCCGCCTCAAGGTCGTGTTGACGCAGTGCCATCTTTGCGGCCTCCGCCTCCATCAGGGCACTCGACAGCTTCTCCTCCAGCAGGCCGCAACGGGTGCGCAGCAGCTCCTGCTTCTCGCCCTGCACGGACTCCAGTTGCTGCAGTGAGCGCAGCTGCACCTGCGAGTCGTCCAGTTTCTGGAGCAGCTGCTGCTCCTCACGGTTCCAGCCGGCGGATCGCTGGTCCAGGGTTCGCTGCAGCGACTCGATCTGGCGGATCAGCGGCGTGGTGGTGGCACCCAGCTCCTGCGTGGAGCTCTCCGCCCGCAGCTCGGCGGCTTCAAGGCGATGCAATAGCTGGCGGTTCTCCTCGCGCATTTGCTGCTCCCTTCTGGCCAGGCTGTGCTCGGCCAGGCGGAGTTTCTCGCGCAGATCGGACACCTGCTGCACATACTCCTGCTGCTCGGCCCGCAGGCTATCCTGCTCCAGTCGCGTGCGCTTCTGGAGATCTCCTTTCAGACCATCGAAGCTGGCTTGCAGGGCAGCCAGCCTGGACTGCAGATCTTCGATGCGACTGCGCCCCTCGGCATTCTCCTCATCGACACGCTTCTTCTCCGCCGTCATCCGGCAAACCGCCTCGATCTGGGTGCGCTCCATCTCCTCCTTGGCAGCCAGGGATTTTTTCAGGCGCTCCGATTCGCTGGACAGCAGCGAGATCTGCTCGCCGTTCTTCTTTAGCAGCGTGTCTGAGGTCTTCTCCTTGGCACGCAGCTTCTTGATGATCGTCGACTGCTGCAGGATCTCCTTGGACAGCTTCTCGCCCTCGGACTGGAGGCCGGCAATCATCTCGTTGCACTCGGCCAGCTCATCCTTTGGTATCTTGTTTTGCAGCTCATCGCGCAGGCTCTTCATTTGGATGCGCAGGGCATCGCGTTCACGAATGCTGGCCTGGAACTTCTTTTCTAGCGCCGAAAGACGCTGCACTGCATCCGCCGCATCCGGACTGTTGGCGCTATTGGCCGCCGCCTCGACCCGGGCTCGCAACTCCTGGTTCCGCTCCAGGAGCTCGGCATTTTGGCGCTCCGACTGTAAAAGTCTCTGTTCCCGCGCCTCAATCACCTGGTTCAGCTCGCTGATACGCTGCACCAGCTTGTCCAGCTCCGACTGCGAGTCCTCTGAGAGCAGCGAGATCTCCGAGGGCTCGCGGTGATGACCTTTGGCCTTCAGGCCCACCTTGCCGCCGGCCAGCTCCTTGAATTTCTGTGGACTGGTGCGCGTGGTGGTACTGTTGGTGCTGGAGTCGCCATTCGGATTGGAGATGATCTCGATGTCCGACGAGGTGGACGAATAGCTCTGGTCCACCACCTCCGCCTTGGCGGGAGCGGGCGACTTGCCCTTGTGGCTCATCTGCAGCTGGATGTCCTCGAAGCTCTGCGTGGAATCGGAGTCGGCATTGCCGGCTGTCTGGATGTCGCTGAGGACCAAAGCCTTCATGGTTTTGGTGGAGTCTGCAAGAGGGGAAAAAGAAGTGCGTTAGGAAGTGCTTTTGTAGAAGGAAAGGCTGATATTGCACCCACCATTCAGGTGATCCTCCATGTGCCGCTCTAGCTGCGTGCCCTCGTCGTCGTCATCCTCGCCATCGCCCTCGGCATTGTCGGATGTGTCGTTGCTGGCGATAATCACGATGCTGTCGGGCAGCGAGGGCTCCGTGTCGGGGGACATCTCCATTTCGCTGGCCGTGGTGGCCGTGATGAGTTCCAGCGAGGATTCGGACATGCGCTTGGCCACCGACGGCTCCTCGCCGCTGGGCGAGATGGGCGAAGTCGGGGAGGAAAGCAGATCCACCGAATCCGAGGTGGCCGACTGGCGTTTGCCGTAGGCGCTGCTACCTGGCACAGAAGTGGGCGTGGGCGGAATGGTGACCATCTCGTTGGCATGCGGATTGTCAAAGAAAGTGGGCGTGTCTGAAGCGGGCGTGGCAGCAGTGCCTCCTCCCGCTGCATCCGCAGATGTAGTACTCCCAGTTGTGGCGCCACCTTCGTCCGCAACGCCAGCCACCGGCGAGTCCTTCTCCGCCGCCTTGCTGTCGTCATCCTGGATGTCCAGCGCCTCAATCAGCACCGTTTTGGCCTTTTCGAACCAGCTCATTGTGGTTGTGGTTGTGGCTGTGGTGTCCCAAGCCCAGTCACCACTGTACCAATATTGTTGACGTCGCCGCAGTCGGTTCGGTTGGCGCAGTGAGTCCTAGTCCCGATGCCACGCCTGCTGCTCCTGCTGCAATCTCCTGCTCCGCGGGGGGCACATGCAAATCCCAGTTTGTTCGTGGATTTGTGGTGACTCCTTGTTTTTGATCCAATTGGAATTGTGTTTCTGTTTTCAACAGTCCAATAATCCTAATCCTATCGATAAGTCTTCTGTGTGACCGTTTGCAGTTTGCCACGGTATGGTCTCGGTACCGTGAACGTAGGTGTTGAATTTTAATAAAATTATTATTTATTTATTAGGGTTATGGTTTTAACAAACGAAAACACTTTCAAGTTTATCCATACAAAGCTTTTAACAGAAATTAAAATGGAAATTTTATTATAATTTAAAGAAATCTTTTTACTATTTACCTCCTTTGAAATATTAACGACTTGAATAGAAAAGTAAAATAAACATAATAATAAGATATCATATATTTTAATTTTTTGCATTCCTAACAGCTGAACTTAAGTGAGATAGAAAGATATCTAGGTAGAGGAAAACAGTGTTCCAACCCTGTTTAATTGAGTATTATATTTTATGTATACTTTTTCTTAAAAATAAACTTTCAAACAATTTTTCAAGCAAGTGAAAAGGTACTACATTTTAAAACAGAAGAACAGTAGTTTAAGCATACATTAAATAAAAATACCAAAATTTACTATCCAGCGAGGTTCGCGTGCTCGCTAAATGCCGATGCAGTGCCAGCACCATTCTTATTAGAATACTAGCCGACGACAATCGATTGGCCTATCCAATTGGACTAACGCCTCTGTTGATATCGAGAAACTCTTTTAATGTAATGTATAAAAAAATAAAAAAAATATGAAAAACGGTCATTTAAATTGAGAGTGTAATCAAGGCAGATTGGGCAGCAGCGTCGTGTCGCGTCACACCTATTTTTTTAGTCGGCGAGAGCAGCAGTAGCGTACCGCATAGCCATTGGATTGAATTTGCAGTTGGATTGGAGCAGTGGCAGTGGCAGTTGCAGTTGCAGGAGCAGGAGCAGCCAGCTAGTAGCCATCGGTCAGTGGCGGAATCCGCATCCAGAATCCCAGAGAATCCAGTGTCCCAGAGAACCCTGAATCCCGGAATCCCTTAAATCAGCGGGTGCTGCAATAAAACGGGGCAGCAACAATAACAATCGCGATTCAACTACGCACCGATTAACGACCGACCAACCCGCCCGTCCCCCGTCCTTGCCACCCCCCAGGCCCCGCCCCCTGCCCCCCGGACACCCGCACTTTTGGCACAAACACAGAGGCACAACAGCACACACACACACATACACACACACAGACGAACACTTACACTCGGTCAAACACACACCAACATACACACTTATCATCCGAGCGACAAAAAACCGACCGCATTTATCATCCGTACATCGCAAATCGCACATCGCACATCGCATTGTTTGCTATTGTTGTCTGCTCCGTTTTTGCACGCGAAGGAGCAGACAAAGAGGACGCGCCGAGGAGGAGGAGTAGGAGGCGAACGAAGCGGATGAGGAGCTAGAGGCCGAAGGAGGAAGGAGGAGGTCGACAAAGGATCGGAGCCGAAGCTAGCGAGCATCATCACCATCACTATCATCTATGGGTCAAAAGGCGAGCACTCCGGCGACCAGTGGCCAACAGAGCCCACGCTCCAGGACATTCTCGAGCAGCTCGACAGGTGCCGCCGACTCGGCCCTGCACCAGCAGCCCTCGTCGAATCCCGGCCAGAATCGCGGCGGCGGCAATGATTCCGCCGGCCAGGGATTCAATCTGCTGCGCACGCTGCCCGGCCTGCAGGTGTACCACAACCAGAACTCCACGTCCATCGATCGCCAGCGGGCGCGGAGTCTGAGCTCTGTGCCGGATATCCAGCAGCAGCAGTCGCAGCAGCAGCAGCAACAGGGCTCGATCACCTCGTCCGGTAGCAGTCCGCACTCGCATCCGCATGCGGCGCATGGACATCCCGCCGTCGGGGTCTCCGTTTCCGTCTCGGGGAACGCCAATGCGAACAGCAACAGCGGCTTCCCGGCAGCCGGGAACAACAATGGATCCGCCACTCAGTCCTACATGCAGCAGAGGCGCACCCTAGGCGATTCCATAAGGGTGAGTGATGATGCCGGCATCCTGGAGGGGATTGTTCACTAAAGCAGCAGAACTCAATACCACATGTAATAGTGTAGCTATTTAACTCAGCAATTGGATAATACAAAGGTCAGGAGGGTTGTTTATCAGGGGATAGCTTCGTTTAGCTTAGTTTAGTCTATAGGAACTCATTATCAGTGATATGGTTAGGTTAGGTAGGAGTGGTTGGAGACTAAATATTAGTCCCCTCACTTAGGCCACAATGGGCCCCTTGTGATACCACATGATCTCTGAAAGATCCGTTTCCCTAGCTCATGGGTTTACTGCCTTCGCGAAGTATTCTGTTCTTCTTAAGAAACATAGTAGTTTTTGAATGCTTACGTCCTGGATGGCCGCAAGGTTCGGAAGTGTGTAGCTACCTAGGGTTTGAAAGCGCTTTAGGTTATGCGCTGGGCAGAAGCATAGGAGGTGTTCGATGCTCTCCTCTTCGTCTATCTCTTTGCAGCTGCGGCAGAAGTCGTGGTTACTTAGACCCAGCCTTGTCGCATGAGTCCCTATGAGACAGTGGCCCGTGAGGGCATTTAGGAGAGTGGAGATGTCCTCCCTACTACATTGTAGGAGAGTTTTTGTTCTTTTCGTGTTATAGTTTGGCCATGTGAGTCTAGAATTGTGGCATATTGAGATTGAGTTCCAACGGTTGTTGGAAAGAGTATACAATCTCTGCCTGAGAAGGAGCTTGCAGGTTGCCATGGGCATCCCTACCGTGTCCTTATCACGAAGGATATCGGCGGTTGTCCCCTGTCTTGCCAGCTCGTCTGCTATGCAGTTGCCCTCAATGTTGCGGTGCCCAGGCACCCAGATGAGGCTGATTCTCAGATGAGTGGCCATCTCGTTAAGAGATTTGCGGCATTCAGAGATTGTTTTTGAGCTCGTTGTGTAGGAGTCGAGGGCCCTGAGGGCAGCTTGACTATCCGAGAATATGAAGATATCACTGTCTTTATGTACAGACGTGTTCAGGTGGGTAGTGGCTTCCTGAATTGCCATCACTTCCGCTTGGAAAACACTACAGTGGTCTGGTAGGCGGAATGAGACTTTTATGTCTAGTTCGGGGGAGAAGACTCCCCCACCTGTTTGGGAGTTAAACTTGGAGCCGTCAGTGTATATGTTGACGGCGTTTACGAATTGATGTGGGAGGTTGTCCCAGTCTGAACGGGTGGGTATATGAATTTTGTATCTTCTTTCGAAGTTGACTATGGGTGGGACGTAGTCTGTATAACGTGGTAGGGGTGAATGTTTTGATAGGATAATGGAGTGACCCGTGGAGCCCGTTGTCCAAGCCGCTGCTTCACGGAGTCTCAGCGCTGTTGCAGATGCCCAGCTTTTGGCAAGTAGGTCCAGGGGTTGGAGATCGAGAATTGTGTTTAGTGCCTCGGTGGCGGTAGTGCGCAGCGCCCCACTGATGCAGAGCTCTGCGCTCCTTTGGATCTTGTGAAGGATCCGGAGGTTGCAGTTCTTATCTAGAGAAGGCCACCAAACGATGTTTCCGTAGAGGAGAATGGGCCTGACTATTGCAGTATATAGCCAGTGAACTATCATGGGGGAGAAACCCCACTTCCTCCCTATGGCTTTTTTACAAGCGAAGAGGGCTATGGCCGCTTTGCGTGTGCGATCTAGGATGTTATCAGTCCAGAGGAGCTTTTTGTCAAGAATGACACCTAGGTACTTTGCTTGGTTGCTAAGGGTTAGGCGCGTTTGGTGTAGTTTTGGGGGAACTAGAATTGGTACCTTGTACTTCCTTGTAAAGAGAACTAGTTCGGTCTTTTCCGGGTTAACTCCCAGTCCACAGCCAGCCGTCCACCTGGAAAGGGTGGATAGGGCTGTCTCCATTAGATTACAAAGGGTTTGCGGGAACTTGCCCTGCAGTAGGATAACCACGTCATCCGCGTAGGCTACCACTTTTGTGCCCGCCTCTTCTAGAAGTGATAGCAGTTTGTTGACCACCAAAACCCATAGAAGAGGTGAGAGTACGCCCCCTTGTGGGGTTCCTCTACTGATATATCAGTGATATAATATAATAATATTTGAAAGTATTAATTCATAGTATTAATTCATAGTATGAATCCCAAATTAAATAATATCAACCGTACTTAAAGTTCTTTAATGATATATTTTTTTATCACATAACATTTTACTAATCCAAAGGTCACTCAATCAAATCCAAGAATTCAGCTAACCCATTCCCCTAGTATACATATTAGATCTTTCCTCTAACTTATATATCGATTATATATAGATTTATCACTTAATCGTGTTAATCTTAAAAAAATAACTATATTCAATATAAGGCATTTCCTTATGGGTCAATTTAAATCGAAAAACATATTGGGTATTAATTTAAGATATTCCAAAGATTTCTTTTTAAGTTACAAAAGAAGAATATCAAATGATCAGATGGTATATCATATAAATGATCTATTCCAAACCAAGATGTTAAATACCATAGGTTAGCTAATTTCTATTGCAGGTTTTGAATAGAACACCACCACTACCCTTAGTTATAAGAGTATATACTTAAAAAGAGATCCTAATAATACTACGATAATGACACTTCCCTCTAATTCCCAATTACAGGACATGTCAATGACCGGTGGCAATATCGCCGAGAGCATCGCCCTGGCCGCTTCCGCCACATCCGCCAATGGGATAGGCCGTGTCTACACGGCCACCTCGCTTCCATCGCACATTTGGTCCTTCAATGGTGAGTACACGTACCATCTGGGGCGTAGCCATCAAGCGATGGTCTCCGATTTGTAAACTGTAATTTGAAAACCCCGTCGAATTTCCCCGAATACTTACAGGTATCAAGTGCCCCGTTTGCAATAAGTTTGTGTTGCCGGACGACATTGAATGCCATTTAGTCATGTGCCTAACGAAACCACGACTCTCATATAACGGTATATTGTTTACATAATCCTAGTCCCCCGATTTCTTAGAATAACCATATTTATTTACCTCCAATGCGTCGCATTCCAGAGGACGTTTTGTCGGACGCCAAGGGCGAGTGCGTCATCTGCCTTGAAGACCTGAGTCCGGGGGATACCATCGCTCGGCTGCCATGTCTCTGCATATATCACAAAGGGTGAGTTGAGAATATGGTTTGCAAGATCATTATACTAGCAAAAAACCCAAACTGAGGGTTAAAATTTAGGAAATATTTATAAGATGGAAGTTATACGATACGATACATATCATTATACATACATTACAAAGGGTGAGTTAAAACTAAGGGAAGTAGAAGGTTTGCAAGATTATTATATCATATCATATCATATTATATACCCATAAGAATGAGTAAAAGGTAAGGGAAAAGGGGAACGTTTGCAAGATCAGGGTTGAAGGTAAGGAAATAATAATAAAACTTAAGCTATACGATGTATAAAGACTGATTTAAAACTAAGGTTAAGGAAAGATTTGTAAGATCATTTTAATATTGAAAAACCGAACTAATTTTAAAAACTAAGAATTAATAATTCAATTTAAACAAAAAAACAAACATAATACATCAAATGCATAACATATATATACAGATACCATATATTTTATTGAAAAAGTCGATTGATTTTATTTTTCAACTTATCTACGAAGTTATTTTGTGGCAAACGCTTGTAAATCTTCATAGTATGGATTTGGGTAACTTATTTTTAAAGTAATCACGAAAGTGACCATAAAGGGGGAAAAATACCTACCACAAACTCTGTAAACCGCAAAGGGAAACAAAAACCCTAGACTACAAAGAGTCAATAACGAAAAATTGAGGAGTGCCTGAGTTTGAATTTTACACTTAACTCACCCCCCTTGGGGTTATAGATTTAAAAATAAGTATGCTCACATAATGGGGGGTCGCACTCCCATCTTTTTCTCCACTGACTGCCAGAAGGCTAATTACAATTCGTTTGTTTTATGCTCCACTGTAGATGCATCGACCGTTGGTTTGAGGTGAATCGCTCCTGTCCCGAGCATCCTGGAGATTAGTAATCCTCACCAGGTAAGTCCCCTAATTGGGATGTTGGATGTTTGGACAGGAACATGTAACCCGGAATCAGTTACGTTCGCTTGCAATCAAACTGAGATTTCTGTTTGCTATCTTTGCAGAGCTCGCCGAGTTGTTTGTGTGGTGCGTTATGCAAGCGAGGAGGGGTAATGGAGCAGGAATGGAACTGGAACTGGCCAGCTGGACGCGGTGCGAAAGAGGGTATAATTTCTGGGTTGGGATGGAGGTCCCAGGCCCAGTGACCAAAAACTGAGCACGTAAGTTGTCCAGCATGTCAGCGAGTCAAGTGCAAAAGTGTCATAACTCCAAGGTCATTATAATGTTATATATATCATGATCCTTACCTTTGCCCTTCTTGAGTTCGATAGTTATAAAGCGAGTACTAATCCAAAATACAACTTACTTTCCAGCTGTTCACCATCGCGATGAGCTGGAGCTTTGAACTAAAAAAGCGTAGAGCGTAGAGTATATAGGATTGAGATAGAGGATGGGAGAGGCTATGCCACAAAATGCTGATCTATGAAGTGGGATCGAGCCATCGATCATTTGACCTACCGACCGACCGACCGATCGACTGCTGATGGAACCCAAACACACACAAATCAATTGAAACAAATTAATTTACAATGCTAAACTGGCAACATGATAATATTAATAACAATAATAATAATAATAATAATAAAAGAATGATCTAAGTAACGAAATCAACCAACCCACAAAAACTACAACAAGAAGCAACAACCAGAAGATTTTGATGACGGGAGGAGTGTAAAGCGAAGCAACCAACCAACCAACAAAAGAATGTCAACCAATGTGATGTTAAATTTTATATTTTGTACTATGGATAATGATGTAATTGTAATTGTAATGTATATGTATGTATTTATTATTTTAAACAGGACTAAAATAGGATAAACACAAGCGTAAGGAGAACACACACACACACATACACACACAAGAAAATAACAATAACAAATACTATTAATAATTATGCTAAATTAGAAACAAACGAAAAGCAAAGCAACCAAAAAGAAAACTTAAAAACTTAAAAAATCATCAAATAAGAATGAAAAGTAACGAAGATAGAAAACGATTTTCCCCCATTTTCGGTGTAATTTAAGATTTGTTTAACAATTCGCAATCAACTCTCTTTGTGTTTATCCATTAGTTACGGCTAGTTAGTTTTTTATATACATGTTTGTTATCAACATTTTGTTTGTGTTTTTGTTTAAACAAAAAATATTAAATTTTAAAATTGACAGAAATCGAATGAGAAATATTTGAAATATTCGCAACTATTTGTAATTTGTCAATGTGAAGTTCTGGTCAAACGAAAGCTGAGGACAAATCCGATTGTATTTTTTTTTTATTTGTCGAAAGCTTCGAACCGGCCATATATCCGATATCCGTTGACATTGTAAGCCATTTGTAAACGATGAAGCGGCCGAGTATCAGAATCATTTATATGAAATGATATAAATACTGCATCGTTTACAATGGGCATGGGTCACGTGGAAGCTGTGCGTTTATTATCATTACTGATTATTGTTTACCGACTATTGTATGTAAATTTTACTACCCATTATGTTTACTATCCTTGCTCATCAATACATATATATCCGGATCGCAGCGAGGATTGCGTCGATGATCCGCCAAAGTTTCCTTAGCAACCGGAGCAACAGCAGCGACGGCGGCAGCACGTAAGAACTATTTTGTAAATGTTATACTTTAATGTACTGTACAGATATACACCCCCCCATACACCATGCATATATAGAACGTTGTATATGTATATTATATATATATATATGAATTGTAACTGTATAACTATAGCGTTGCATTGAGCGATTGAGGATACAACTGATTTCACTCCAAAATAAAAGCGATAAGCGTAACATTTGAATGCAAATTTCCCATATTGGTTATACGTATTCGAGAAATGGTTTTTTGTATCCCGATGGCAAAATTGGTAACTTATCGAAGTAAAGAAGTAAAAAAACAAAAATATTTGAACTTTTATAACCAACCAAAGCGAATAGAGCAAGTAAAACGATTTAGGATAACGATTGTCAAGTAAAAACGGAAGCAAAACGTGAAGAACTTTAGAAAATAAATGAGTGATTATATAAACCACAACAGTCTCCCTCCCTTGGAATTGAAAAGGTCAACGGTTTATATTCAGCATTGCGTTTATTGAAATAACTAAAACGATAACGGGGGGCGTTGATATCCACCTCTGTGTCGAAATCAAGCCCACCACACATCGGCTATAAAGGGACATCGCGATTATATAGGGGCGTGTGTATATATAGTTTTAATATGGCTACGGATAATTTGGTAACACAATTCAATCATCGGCTTACACAACAATTTTGCACTTATGTGGGGAAAAAAACTAAGAGTGGCTTAACATATAACTAAAACAGATCCGGCACGGCGTAAATGAATATATGTATATATAGTATAATCGAATCGAATATAAAAATCGCACAACAGTATTCCAAAAGGCGGAGACCGGAGAACGTAAATTGCGAATGTGAAACCTTGAAAATAGCGAATCCGATGTAAGGTCGTTATCCCCAGATCATGCTTATCGGGAGCTACCTATGTGAGCTGCTACTGAGGTCCTGCTGCTGAACCGGGGCATCCGGCCAGCTACTCTTTATGTCCACTCGGAATGCTGGATGCGATCCAAGAGGGCACGGTATCCGGTCGGCCAGTCCGCCGGTTCCCGAGCCACTGCACTCCGCGTCTGTTTGTCGTTTCGTTTTCTATAGTTTTTAAGCAACTACACTTGGTTGAGATGTGGCGACGGCCAAATTGGTTCTGCCACGGCCTTTGGGGAGTCGTCTGCCGTCAGGCTGCGACTGCTTATAGTCCGGAGAAGATCCTGAGATCCGATCCGCAGGTCGGATCCGGTCCAGAGTTAGCCCCAATGTTGAATGTAGTCTCTCCGCTCCGAGTGTTGTGATGCGTGGTGATGTCAAAAGCCCAAAAATGCGGCCGACCAGTGTGGAGAATTAGACCCACGGCGTCCAGCCCTCGTAGAGGACGGCCAGGTTGTCCAGATTGGTGGCCTCGCGAATGGCATAGTCCACTTGCTCGGCGACGGTGCTGCGCTGATTGCCATCCGGGTCCCGACCCTCCAGCTTCATTCGAATCTTCTTCCACACGGACACGCCGTACGCATTGCGCTTCTGCTCATGCAGATTGCTGCCTCCTGGGGGCGAATCAAATTTTGATAGATTGGAAACCCTTCTGCCAACGATTCGTGGGTTTTTCTGCTCACCTTTGGTGTGCGTAAAGGTTTCGTAGGAGTCGGTTTCGCCTGCGTGCTGCAGAAAGTCGTCCATGCTCTTGTAGAACTCGTCGACCTCCTGGTTGGCCATCGCCAGGATGATCTGCAGCTGCTGTTGCCAGTTTTGCAGCACAGCCGGCTGCAGAACGCGCCGCTCCGCGCAGAGATCCTTGCGCAGCTCCTGCAGCCGCATAAAGAGGGCCTGCACCAGGCGCTGGCAGTCGCGCAGGTGGCCACAAAGCAGCTGCACATCCGTGGGCACCAGTTTACCCTGGCCCTGCGCCTGGGCCTCGGAGCACAGGCTGCGCACATGGAAGCGCGGCATGTTCTCCTGAAGGCGCTGTGTGCGGGGAAAATGTAAGAATTTAGAAATCTAAGATTTAGTTCCCCCTTTTGGTATCCACTCACCAGAGTCTCCTTGAGCAGGGTGCAAATGAAACGATGCTTGCTCTGCTGCTCGCCCTCCAGTTCCGCAATCTCGCGCTGCACTTTGCAGGTGTGCTCCTCCAGCAGCCCGTGCACATTCTCCAGCCAGTAGAGATCGATGGCGCCTTCAGGGTCCAATAGTTCAACGATAGCCTGCTCAACGGCGCTAATCCTCGAGCTGCTCGCCTGCCATTGTCCATGGGAGGCGAGCCATTGCTCCAAATGCTCTACATGTGCCTGCCCCTCCTCGCCGAGAGCTCCGGTATGCTGTTCCAGGCAGGACACAGCTCTTGCTGCATCCGCCAGCTGTCGCACCACCGAAATATGGGCCATCATGCGCTGGTTGTGGCACTGCTCAGTGCGCAACAGGTTGTCTATGTGATTGCGATTCCAGTTACTCCGCTGCGTCTGCAGTTGGCTCAGTTGGGATTCCAGACCGCTTTGCAATTGCTGCAGGGCCCCTAGATTTTGGTCCAACTCCTGCCAACTTTCGCCAATGATGGCGGCCAATTTGGGGCGGTTGACGATGTGGTTGCCACAGCGCAACTGAGCGCCCAGTGCTTCCGAATAGGCCCAGTACTGGGCGGAGGCGGCCAGGGTGTGCAGCTCAAGTTGCTGGTTGAGCAGCGATATTTCCGCTTGTTGCTGCTGCAGGCCTCCGTCCGATTGCAGGGAGACGAAGAGACCCTCGCACAGGTGATCCGCTTGGGCCGGATCCCCTAGCACTCCACAGTTGGCCGTGGGTCGACATTGCGGGCCGACGGCGGTGTAGAAGTTGCGCGCCAAGAGCGGTAGCAGACCCGCCAAACTCTCCGCCTGAAGGCGTCGGACGAGCGCCACAACGGGGCGTGCCATTTCGCGCACATCACAACTTCGACTGGATTCCAATGCCTCACTGACCAGGCTGAAAAAGCACTCGTCGTCCAGCTCCAAGTGGCAGGACTTAAGAAGACCCAGTTCCTGGAGGGAAAAACTATCAGTTAAACCCATAAAAATACAAAACATTGTTCACCCACCATTAACTGCTGGGCCTGCGGATCGTGGACATCCTCGAGCATCATCTTTACGCCTCCTACCAGCGAAGCCAACGCGTTGGAGGCCAGCTGGAACTGTTCGTAAGCGGGCTGCAGAGTTAGTAAAAATCTGCGCTCCGCTGGGAACTCGTCCGGCTGCTGATCCTTCTCCAGCGTGGCCTCCAGATACAGCTGTCCCAGACTGGCGGCACTCAGATGGCACAATGCACTCAGTTGGCCAAGATTGGGTTGCAGTAGGAGCAAGCGATATATGCTGGCTGGGAGGTCGTACTCAAAGATCTGCTTCAGATGCGACAGCGCCGACAGAAGGCTCTCCATTTGGTTTAAGTGCAGATCCTCCTGCTCGGTCATCGCCAGAACGCCTTGGCACATGGAGCGCACCAGGTGGATGAAGTGCAGCTGGTGCTGCAGCAGTTCCTCATCCTGGCTAGCCAGTGCCACCTGCTCGTAGGCGGCGAATGCTCCGCCAGCCCGATCCAAAGTGCGAACTAGGCTGGCCTTTAGCAGCAGCAGGCTGCAGCCACTCTGGCCAATCATGGCCAGCAAAGCAGGAGTAGGTGCACCCAGGGCCAGAGCCTGTGACTGCTTGGCGGCGTAGCGCTGCGAGGACTCATGCAATTGGCAACTGAGCCGCACCCAAGCGGCCTCCAAGGCATCCGCAACGCCCAGGACATCCGCCGTGCAGATAATCGAACTGGATGACGAGTTGCTGTTGTTGCTGCCGGAGCCTCCGTGCTGAATGTACGATCCAAAGCTGTCGTGGAAGCGAACGAACAGATTCTGGCGATGGCTCTGCTCCGGGAAGAAGTTCATGACGGCCGCATACTGCTGCAGGTGTTCCGAGCTCTGCAGCGCCACCTCGTCCAGTCGGCCCAGTAGCTCATCCAGCTGGCTGCGCATGCTGTCGAATCCAGATAGCTGTAGAGCCTCCGCCAGAGCAGCAAACTCCCTGGCATTCTCGCCATCCGACTCCATTTGTAGCTGGACAAGCTGGGAGTGCAGTTCGGTCAGGTGATACGGCTGCAGGCACTGGCCATAGGTGCTCAGGAGGCACTGCACCTGGCCAAAATCCGTCATTCGCTCGGCACTGAGCGAGGCCAGGGCCTCCGAGTGACCACGGCGCACTGCATGACGCAGCGAGGCCGTGTTGAAGCTGTGGCTTTCGATCGCCGTGCCCAGCGACTTGATCTCCGCAACGAGAGCACTGCGCTGGTTGAGCTCCACGAGCTCCTGCTCGGCCACCAGCTGTTTTTCCAGTGCCTCCTGCAGGTTGCCCACCTCCTGCTGCATCTCCTGCAACTGCAGCATCACGTCTGTTCTGGCAAATGAAAAGAAAGTTGGTTAATCCACTGGGAGGTTAAGTATCTTTTAGCTTTTAAGAACACATGCTAGCGAGGTATACCCTCAGAAGTTAGAGAAATGACGGAGCTACTCACTTGTTTGTGACCCAGAACTTTTGCAGAAGACCCAGTTTGCTCAGGAAGTGTTGTCGCTTGGCATCCCAGTCGTGTGGCTTTCCCTTGTTCTTGTCCTTCTTGTGGCACTTGAGTTCTCCGCCACCCGGACCACATGCTCCTCCTCCTGCAGCTGCTGCCTGCTGCTGGTGCTTGGCATTCAGGGATCGACGCAGGGCCTGGGCATCGTCGTTTATAGTCCAGTCCACCAGAGGATCGTAGACGAAGGCCTCCAGCAGAGTCAGCAGAGTCTCGCGCTCCTTGCGCATCACCTTCAGCACGTATTCACAGCCCAACCGGAAGGAGCCCTGCAAAAGACGATGGGATTTATGGTTAATGGCGATGATATCTATGGATAAACAAATATATTACACCCATAAATGGGACATAGGGATCCATAAACGTACGGCGGAACCGTTTCCATCTGTCGTACAGCACACAGATATACGATTCGATATATTAGCAATGTTGATTTTATGGGAACGCAAACCCAAACCGAAACCAAAACCCAAACCAGAAACAAACCCGAACCATAACCATGTTCTACATATACGACCTCTACTGGCATCGAAGCTAATCGCTCTTTACAATTCTAGATTGGCCGTAATTTATGTGATAAGCCCCTAGACTGTCCATGTACATATATCTATATATCTATATCTAAAAGGGTTCAGATTTACCCCGATTTATCCATTAGGCCATGCAATTCTCAGATGTTTCTCCAACACACCCCACATGGCTTGTTTCGATCCACCAGCAATGTGTCCAAAGTCAAACAGGCAAAAAGTGCATGGCTTATTGATACGGGTGGGTACTTCTAAAAATATGTCATCTGTTGCCGGATAGCTGATAAAATTCTATCATGACCGTGGAGACTGGCACTTTAAGATGAATCAGAAGAACCCATATATGATGTATCGCATCTGCTACTATTAAATTCTAAATTCTAAAACTTAAAATGTACCTATATGCTTTGAATATATGTACATATTTCTAATATCTAATACTTCTATCCAATAATCTAATCGAATAAATTTCATCCATCGAAAAGATTAAATATGTGGGTATTTCCTGCAATTGTGTAACCTGTTATCGGATTTTAAAAACCCATGCATTGAAATGGAAGGCCTAAGCTATACCTATCCATTTCTGCTTTTGGTATTTTATGGTTAAATGTTAGGTATACTTTTATAGCACCTACGAGTTTAATGATAAGACCTTGGTAATATTACCAGTTTGCCACCCATTGACTTATAATATACGTTCCCTACATTTCATTTACAGAAGAGTAGCCATAGATCCAATCAAAGATGTATCTGCGAATCGTTTACTACGTATGCGAGTTACTGCCCCAGGGTTTTTTATCGTTCTATTTTGGTCTGCGAAGGTGGGCTAATCTGCTAAAACCCCCAGCGATCTGTTTGGCCATTCATCGGGCCCGGGAGTTCATCGGGTTTTGGGCAGTTCAATGGGTTTCGAGTGGTTCAACTGGTGGATGGGTTGATGGTTGGGTGGTTGGGTGGCTGGTTGGGCCTGCAGAGCCGGGCGAAAGTGGCGGGCTTATCGACGGATTGCGGTTCTCACGCTGGATCTGGCCGCGTTATCAGTTAACTGGCGGTGACAATGTCGTAGAGCCACCAGCGAAACGTAAACAAACGACGCCCACGGTTCCAGCCGAACCCCATTTGGAATCTGTATCTGAATCCGAATCGAGCCGAAGTCCTGGCCAAAAACCGCAGAGCTCCGGCTCCCACGGGTGCCAGATAGTTCCCCACTGGCGTCGCGTGCGCTTCGTTTTCCACACCGTGTGTCATGTCATTTTCCAGCACCTCATCGCCCGCCTGGGATTATCGAAGCTCTCCGGCACCGTTGGATCTAGGTGTAACCATCCTGTGGGAAAATGAACAGCGAAATGCAACGGCCACGGCACTAAGTCTTCAGACAACCAGCCTGGGTCCCGGTCATCTCCTCTGGCTGGTCATCAATGCCCTCCTGTTCGCCCTCATCCTGGGCGGCAACATCCTGACCATTGTGGCGGTGCGCACCTGCCGCCACCTGCGATCGGTCATCTCCAACCTGTTTATCCTCTCGCTTGCAGTCTCCGATTTCTGTGTGGGACTGGCTCTGCCCTACCACCTGGTCTTCTACATGGGCTCAGATATTGGCGCCATGAGAGCTCCCTGCCTGCTGCGCTTCTTCCTGCTCATCTGCGCCTGCTGCGTTTCCATGCTGACCCTGATCTCCATTGCGGTGGATCGGTATATAGCAGTGGTTTATGCCTTGCACTACAGAAGGTGAGTGGTTAGGGTAATCCTACATCTATAGGGGGAACTCGTGATTCAAGCTAGATCAATGATTCAAAGTATCTGGTATACTTAAGTTACTAAGTTATTATTATTAACCCAACATGTATCATATGTTTTGATATCATATGTTTTGGTAAGTCTTATGCTTTCAATGCATTAAAAATTAGTATCTTAATGAAAGGGTCTTTAATCTACATAGATTTTTAAGATGATTATTTCGGATCTCTAAACACCAAGGATTCTAGTAGTCTTACTCTACTTATATACGTATCATAGTCAAATGATTCGCATATTGGTATAGTTCAGAGTACAGGATTGTTGATTCACATCTTAAGGGAGAGACTTCATGAAAGGGTCTAAAATCCACACATATTTTGAGGTTTATTGCTTACAATCTCTATGTAGGCAAAACCCACCTAACCCCTTGCTCATTCTCAAAATCCTCCCACAGATACATGACTCGTCGGGTTGCCTATAGCATCATCATATCCAATTGGTGCCTGGGTGCTGTGGTGGCCCTGATTCCCGTGTTCTGGAATCGATGGCCCGAGGCGCAGGCTTGTGAGTTCGATGAAGTCCTCTCGCCCGGTTACATAGCCGGGGTGATCACGCCGGGCTTTGTGATCATCTGGATCTGCATGTTCCTTGTTTACTGGCGGATCATGCGCGAGGCATCCAAGCAGGCACAGCGATTGCGCCAGTCGGTGGTCTACAACGCGGAGGAGGCCACCACCATGAGGAGTCTGCTGCTCCATCCGGATTGGAAGAGTGTCCAGATCGTGGTCTTCATCATGGGCTGCTTCACACTCTGCTGGCTGCCGTATTTCTGCGTGGCCATTGCCCAGCTTTTCAGCATCTGCCAGAGCAGCTCGATGATCTACAAAACGACGTTCTCGCTGGCCATTGCCAACTCTGCCCTGAATCCGATAATCTACTCGTGGAAGAACTCCGGCTTCCGGCGGGCCTATGCCCAGACACTGTGCTGCCGGTCAGCGAGACAGTGCGAGGATCAGTTGCCGGCGGACAGCAAGCACCGCATGGAGGCCACCTCCTCCTCCACGGGCTACCAGCAGGAGATCAAGCCGAACGCCACGAAGTGATCACCTGACTGGTGGTAATATGTTGAGATGATAGCAATTAAAGTGAATATTATCTTTAAGAGCTGTTTTTTTTAAAGCCATGTGAAACTGACACAGTATATAATGGTATGTATATAGCAGAGCCCAAAGCAGATGAAGATATAGGAGCAATCTTACCTCGATTCCGGTGATCCCCAGGGCGTGCACCAGATTCTGGGTGAGACGGAAGGGCACCTTCTCGGGGATGCGCAGTGTGCGTCCCTTCTCGAAGCAAACGTTGTAGTCGATGTGCACGATATCTCCGCTTCCCAGGTTGATTAGCACGTTGTCCAAATGCCGATCGCCCAGTCCAATCACATAGCCAATCATCGACATGACCGACATGCAGCGGGCATACCGACGAACCGATAGTCGCCACTCGGCGGCGTTTCCCGCTTGGCACCACAGCTCCCGGGCGAGCAGATCTCCGGGCGTTTCCTGGGACAACTCGGCGAGCACCTGGCGAAGGGCGGAGATGGGCCACTGGCGGCGAGGATCGCTAACCTGCAGATTGTGCTTGGCCAGTAGTGGGGTGAGTTTGCTGTAGAACAAATCCGTAAAACGTCGCGTGGCATTGGCACCACCACCGGCTCCAGTTTTACTCGTGACCTGCGGCTGTCGTTGCTGCCACTTCTTGTAGAGCGCGAAGAGCGGGGTGACTCCGTCCACCCAGCTAATAAGTCCGGATTGCGGGCCCAGCGGGATCACCGAGTAGTGATGGGCACGGTAGCAACCATTGCCGGGCGCGTCACTCCGGCAGGCCATGATGGCATTCGAGATGGACAGGAACTGCATAATGCGCTCGTCCAGATGGAGATCCTCCATGCCCTTAAACAGGAAGGTGTAGCGCTGGCCATTGCTGCCGTAGAAGGCCACCTTTTTGGGTTTCGTCTTGGTGGGCAATACGCACACCGATCCCTCGACGCTCTCAATGTAGACCTGATCCTCATCCGGCCCGTGGGCATCCAGACCGGGCATGGAGATTCGCATCCGTCCAATGCCACACAGCACTGGGCTGAGGCTCTGCATCTTGAGCGTGCTGCCGGTGCCCCTGATCATGTTAGCCTGCAGGATGTGGTAGAGCTGCTTCAGCTTGTCCCACGCCTCCGGATAGCGACGAGTGCGCAATGCCTCCACAGTGGAACGTATGGGACCGTCGAAACGCTTTCGGAAACTTCGCTCATAGCTAGTCTCCGCCGGACGAGCGGTGAGCGCGGCCAGGGCCTCCAGATCCGCCAGCAATTGCGGCCGCCAGACATTGAAGCGATTGTTCTTGCCCTCATGATCGTCCGCACGGAACTCCGTGGCCAGCGCACTCACCCGACTGACGTACGTGTTGTAGATGTGGGCCAGCGAGTGGATCCAGTACTCGTCCCACAGCAGGCATACGCGGCGCAGCTCCTTCACCATGAGCTGCACATGCTGCACTGCCTCCGGCGCCTGTTTCGATAGTTCTCCCAGCAAATAGCCATAGCAGCAGGCATCCTCTGTTGTCGGGGGTGTGTTTGCCGGCGGCGCGGCTGCATCTTGTTGCTCCCTGTTGGCACCCACGACTGCCGGGAAGATCACTAGCTGGGGACGACTCTCGGCCAGGCGGCAGAGCAGGTCGCAAACGCTCTTCCTCACATACGGTTCGTGGTGATTCAAACGGCTGAATAGCTGCGGAATGATCACCTTCCAGGGAGCGATGGGCGTGGTGTGCAGTCCCTGCTCTAAAACTTCCTGCAGCCCGCTGGCATGCTTTACAATCAAGCGGAGCAGTCGCAGCGTTGTCGTGACCATGTTGCTGTCGTCCACATGGAAACGTTCCCGCTGCTGTACGGCTCCATCTACGCTTGACTTCTCCGGTCCGGAACCCGCCTTCAAGCTGAGGTACTGGAAGTACGAGCGTGCCGCATCCTTGTAGTAGTCATATGTGTTGGCTATAGCACGTCGCCAAATCAGCAAGATGGCATCCAGCACCTCCGGCGGCTTATCCGCCAGCAAACTCAGCCGACGCAGACAGTTCTTGGCCGCCTCATCATCTCGGGCACGCGCCGCCTCCGGACACACCTCCACACAGTTTGCTGGCGGCTGTTCCATGCTCAACGCCTGCAGAAGCTCACCCAGTTGCTCACTGTCCAACGGCTGGGCAATGTCCAGTGCCTGGCTGAGGGCCGTCACATCCGCCTGACTAAGCACACAGCCGCTGTCGACGATCTTCTTACCCCAGCGATAGCACCAGTTGCCGTAGGCAATCAGTGCCTCTTCGCAGTTGGGACGCTGCTTTAGGCTGGCATGTACAAGGCGGGCAACCAGACGCTCTGCTTGAGGAATGGCCAGCGGCTGGCTGGAGCCACAGGTAAGCGGACACTCGGGCAGCTGGTCCAGCAGTTGGATCAAAGCCGGCGACTGATTGGTTACCAAACCATTGCACGTCCTGGCGGCTATCCAGTCGGAGAGGGTGAGCAGTAGATCCGCACCCATGGCCGGCTGGTGGCTGCTCCTCTGAGTATTAAGGCAGAGGGAAGCGCACACATCAATCGATGAGCTTAAATCGCAGCACTGCGTCTGCGGTTGCTGCTGCTGGAGATGCAGGCACTTCACCACCTCACTGTAACCGCGAAGCAACTCCGGATTGTCCGCATGCACGCCTTCTTCCTGTGAAAACTGTCCGACTATCTCATCCAGCGGCTGACCAAAGAACTGTGTCAGCAGAGTATCCGAAAGCTGAAGATTTCCCTCCTCTCGCGCTGCGGCAGCTGCGTCCAAGCAGAGGGTTTCCCAACTGCCGGGCGCGCAATGCTGACGGAGCAACTGGGTCCACGCCAGGCAGCGCATCAAAATGGCACTGGAGATGGGATTTGAGCGGCTTTGGCATCGCTCTGCGGAAAGCGGAAGCAGGGTCAACTCCTGACCGCTACTGACACCCTGCACTATATGTCGCAGCAGTGTCAGCTCTCTGCAAGCTCGTTGATCGAAACTGGGGTTCAATAGGCTGTCTCGCCATTGGTTGTCAAGTAGATTCCTCGCCTGATCCGTCACGCAACGGTCTTCCATCAGCTTCGCTAGTACAATATCCTCCGTACGTTGGCGAACATGGACGGATGAGAAGCTGGCACGTCCGCCCAGGGCACTCACTGATCCAGACTCCTCCCAGTTACTCGGCCACAGGCTCAACTGCTGCAGGGCTCCTCCGAATTCGTCCATGGAGGAGTACGTTTCCTCTGCCCTGGCCAGCAGCCGTTCCAGAGCATTAACCTCCACATTGCTGCGTTGCAGGAAGGGATTCAGTTCTCGGTCCTCGGGCCGCGTGAGTTGCTGCTGCTTCAGTTCCACCAGCTGCGACCATTGGCCCATGTCCTGCATGCACTGCATCATCTGGGCCAGCACAAACTGTCGCGTGTGCGGCTCCAGTTCGGGCTGATGCTCCTCCTCGGCCAGGACACTCCTATAGCCGGCAAGTGCCGATTCTCGTTTCCCGGCCGCCTGATCCGCCGCACACAATAGCCACTGGTAGGACTTACTGCTCCTTGCACGAGCCCACAGGCATAGACCTCGCAGGGAGTCCGCCTCCTGGCAGCTCACCCAGGCCCAGGCCATATAAACGATAGCCTGGCTATAAGTGGCATCTTGTGCCTTCTGGGTATGCAGAATTTGCTACAAAGGATAGACGAAACGAAAATTACCATGAAAGTGAATGCCCGGCAGAGGTTACTTACCTGGGCATAACGTATAACCAGTTCCGGCTGCTGCACATGCATGGCGATAATGACCACGCCAATGCGGATGCGATTAAACCAGGACTGACAGGTGGGATTATTCAAGCGGAAGAAGGCTGCCACTGGTTTCTCCGGCGGACGCAGAGCAAAGGCGCTGCCCTCGGCGGCGTTGTAGATGAGCTTCTCCAGCGCATCGAGAAAGCCCAGCAGCAGACTCAGATTTCCCTGCATGCTCAAGAGCTCCTCCAACGACAGGGTGTCCAGGGCTGAGCGCTCCATCTCCTTGGCACAGCCACTCAGCAGTCTGGCGTGCCGCATGATGATGGCCTCAAATCCCAGGAACGTTTCCTGCGGCTTCCCCAGCGTCGTGCGGAGTCGCTGATCCACACAGTATCTGGCTGCCTCGAACTGCAGCCAGGCGGTGGCCAATCTCTGGCAGCGTTTTGTGCACTGCGCCAGCTTCTCATGCCGCTCATCCTGCGGGCCCACTTGGCAGCTGCGCACGAAGAGCTCCCGCAGGCTGTTGATCAGCGAATCCTGCTCTGGTTTCTGCAACCGCTCGAAGAAATCTCGGAAGACGGTGTCGCGCACCGCACTACACTGACTCATTCGCTGCTGCCAAACGCAAACACGTCTACTGGTCATTCCAGATATGGGTGATTCACCACCGGTAAGCGTTAGATGCAGTGGCAACTGGGCGTAGATCTGGGCATAGGGCCCATGGCCATTCGTGGAGAGCACCTGCAGCTGTTGGAGTGCCGTATCGCGGTACAGGATCAGCAGCTCTGGCAGATGACGAAGCCTTTCTGGCCCGTAGTCCAAGACCGTTTGGATACAGGCAGCACTTTCCAAGGGCGTCCATTTGGAAGCGGTAGCCGCAATATTGTGGCAAATTCCCAAAAAGTTTTCTTGTTCCATGAGCAGATCAGCTTTCTCGCGGCACTCACTCAAGAGCATCTGCGTCCACTGTAGCAGTATCCTCAGGTTCTGGGCCGCCAGCTGGCCAGCCTGTTGCAAAACCGAGTCCAGGAAGCGAAGGATGCTGGCGAAACTGTTTGCCGTAGGCGAGGTATTCTCCGCCGCCAGCTCCTGATCACGAAGCAAACTGGAGTTGGTGCGGAAGTTGTGATTCGCCTGACAGTGCACCACGAGCAGACCCAGAATGGCTTGATGGGCGGCAGGGTAACTGCTCCAGAGCGCCAGCTCGTCGGCCCTGCAGTTGGTAAGAAGCAGCTCCAGAATCGAGGGCTTGCACGCGTACATGCCGATGATCGAAGAGGTCTGCTTGGCCAGGGCAGCCAGAGCGGCCAGATGGAAGACGAGGAGCACGCCCGCCTCGCTGGCTTTCCTCTCGGACTCCTCCGTTGCGGGTGAAGTCGACAGCAGCTGCAGCAGGCAGGCATCAATGTCGTCTACGAGGTATTTGTACGCCTGCTGCAGCAGGGGCACATTCCGAATGAGCAGAGTCTCCTGGCAGGTGCGCAGTAGCAGCCGGTAAGCATTGCCGCCCGGCGTTTGGCGCCTGAGCTCCGCCAGATAAGGATTGGACTGAAAGATCAAGTGAACCAGGCTGGGCGGCAGACGGGCTCGCAACCTCCTCACGGTGCAGAGCAGCAAATACAGGACACTCTGTCGCTGGGACTCGCTCAGGCAAAGCATCTGCTCAAGCTGCCAAAGCAGGAGCTGCTCCAAAGTACTCGGATCTAGGCCACCAAAGTTGTTTAGCAGACAGATACAGAGCAACTCATTGATATTGACCAAGGCATCCGTATCCGAGTGCAACTCTAGATGGGGCATTATTTTGGTTAGATGATCCACGGCCATCTGGACAATGCACTCGCAGGTTGGCATGCCCACGAATATTTGCATGCGGGCCAGGCATTTGAGCAGCGTGTTGAAGGCGCCGGCGAAGGCGCCCACACGCTCTGCCGTGGCTGCCGGCTCGTCTTCCTCTAACGTGGTAATGTCCTCCACGAACTGGGCCAACAGGCCGTAGCTGAAGTCAATCTGCTTGCTGAAGTACGGCGTCAGCTGCTCCAGCACCTGGGCGCAGTGGGCCTTCAACTGCCTGGGCTGTCCCGTCTCCAGTTGCCAGCCGATGACGATGTCCACCACGTCAGTGAAATGGCACTCGAAAGCGTCTCCGTAGCTGGCCGAGAACTGTACCAGCGTGTTGCTGACGGCGGTGAAACTGTCGGCGCTCTCGGCATTCTCCAGGAAATCCTTTAGCAACAGCATGATCTTGTCCGCGTACAGATGCAGCTCGCACTTGGTGTCGCAGCTGCATGTGGATTGGGATGGGTTACAAACAATATGAAAACATACGAAGGAGGGGGAAGGGGTCACCTCAGTGTGGTGCGCAGGGCCACGATCAAGTACTTCTGCATCCGCTTGCTGCTCCTGTAGTTTTTCACGATGAACTCCTCGTACAGGGGATACGACTTACGGTTAAGGAAGCCAATCAGACCCAAAGTCTTGCTGCACTCCTCCAGAACCGGAGGCGAGCACTGCTTGTACAGGGTGAGCATGTTTTCCAGTATCCACACGAAGGAGCACGACATGTAGCCCATGTTGATGGGCGTACGCACGGCCTGGTCCAGTTTGGCGCAGAGCTCTAGGGCCACGGTGGGATTGGTCTCGTTGATAAGCCTGCGGATGATCTTGGACAGGCGCAGGTCCTCGCCATTGGACGTCATGTTGACCGGATCAGCTGTTTGTGTGTGAATCGAATCGAGTGGTTGATGGAACCAAGGTCAAGGTCTAGGCAGCGGACTCACCTTTGCACTGGTACACCTTCCGGTGATTCTGGGCCACCAACTGCCCCGGTCCCGACCCCTGCCCCTTGACCATCTCATGGTTTATGTTGCGCAGCAGCAATGAGTTGGCAAACGCCTGCGCAGCCTCGTGCGTCTTGTTCCCGCTGGGCAACCACATGTACTCATTGCCTCCTGATCCGGAGGCAGAGGCACTGCCGCTTCCACTGGCGCTGCCACTCCCACTCCCGCTGACGCCCTCGTTGACGCTGCCACCTTGATTGCCATTGTTGTTCCGCAGAACGCGATCAATCTCCGCGTGGAACGCGGACGACGCCTCCTCCTCGGTCCCAGTCCCATTGTAGTTGTCCGGCTGGAGCGCGTTCTTCATTGAGGGAATTGGCGGCGCTAGCGCAGACATCAAATCGCCCCGAATGTCCGCATTAATGAGTGTTTAGTTTAGTGGGTTATACTACGTTTAGTTTATACTAATTTTTTTTTGTTCCAACGAGCTAGTGGTGTGCACGTCACTATCGATAGGGACAGCTGTCGCGGGCCATCGATGTTCCCCGTTTGGTTTGCTTGTCCTGGTCGAATCCTTTACTGCCCCTCGTACCGGATGTTCCTGCTCAGCAAATTGCTTGTGATATTGGCGAGTGAGCAGGATTGTCAAAGATTCCTGGATGTCCCAAATACCATATCGTGACACGAAATTGGCCTCCGCTGATAGAAACTGTTGAATGCAGCAGGTATCGGCCAAAGTGCCATCTCTACTACCAGGCACTCTCCTTTTGGCGCGCAATTCAAATTTCAAAATGCAACTTTTTAAAGTTTATTTCAAATAAATGAAGCAAAACAGAGTAATTATTGTACATTAATTGTTTTCAAGCTTGCGGCGTATTGCAGGGATAGCGCTGAATATATCCCCGAATCGCCTGCTGCGTAAATCAATAAATCGATATAGTTAGTAATAGTTCTTCAAATCTAATTATTTAGTTTCTGCATCATGTGCTGGGTGTAGACGGCCACAAAACTGGCCATCTGGGCGTACACCTGGTACGGATTCTTGAACGGCGGCGCACAATAGGCCCCGGGTGGGGGAGAAGACATGGAAACTGGCAATCCCACTGCCGGAGTAGGACATGGCGGTGGTGGAGGCGGAGGAGGACGTGGTGCCACCGGTTGCTCGCGCGGCACCAGCGACAAACAGATATCGCCCACCTGCAGCTGCTGACACTTGAGCTCGTACAGCTGCAGCGACAACTGGGGATTGCACGAGGCCCAACCCTGGCCGTAAACAAACATAGGATGACCCGGCAGCACCTCCAGGTCCATCTGAAAATAGCCAAGGATACGAATGAGGGATGTAAAGAGATGGGGATTGCGATAAATTCACCTTGGCGTGCTGTGTGTCGTAGCTGAAGGTGAGCGTCACATGGCTGGGGGATCCTGCCCGGTTGATCCTCACCACTGTGGCCTCCCGGAGCTCAAAGAGCTGGCTGCGCAGCGCCGACTGGATAAAGTCCTCGGTTCGTATGTCCTCTACACGACGCAAGGCCCCGCTGGCCAACTCAATGTAGGATCCCCGGCGGAAGCAGGAATCAGAAGAGTCATCAGAAAGCCCACTGCAATTGAACCCATTGATGATACACTGGACAAGATTAACCTTATCCCTGCTTACTTGCTGGACTCCTGAGGCTGTGGCGGAGGAGGATTCGGAGGGGGTGCCCTCCTGATTGGATCGTAGCCACAAGCATATGAGAACTCCATGTGCATTTGCATGTCGACCTGTTCGCCTGGACGGAAACTCATCAACTGAGCCATTTTCCGCCAAGGCAGGCAATTGATATACATTCATTCAGCCAATGTGTTTTCCACGGGTTTTCCAGGAATGTCACCCACTCGGCCAGCCCGGCTGTTACCTGTTTTATGGCCCAACCGTCCATAATCTGGTCGTGGCAACAGGTACGCCGCCTAGACGCCGGCGATCGCTACCTGCTGACTGAATTCCGCTTAACAGCCATTGTTTAGCCGGGTACCAGGACCAGAGAATCCCCGCCAGCGGCGGCGCCGATCTGGCTCTTGCGCCAGGCGCCTTGAAGACTGCTCGGCACCACCACTTTGATCGCCAGACGTGACCAATTGCGGATTTCTGCTGAAGCCGAAGCCCATTCTACTGCTCCGTTTATTTGGTTTTTCGTTTTCTCTTAACAGCGGATGTGGAAGAGGAGGAGGCGCCGGGTGGCGTCACCTTGCCCCAGCTGAAGCCCAGGGCGTACAGATAGTAGGCCCCAAAGAAGTAAAGCACCCCAAGTGCCGAATACACGGAGGTCAGCAGCAGCGGCAGGAAGGGCAGGCGCTTGTCCAGATGCAGCAGGAACGAGAGCAGATGCTCGTACAGCGGAATGGCCAGGAAGCCCAGCATGTAGAGCCACTCCAGCGCGTGGAAGCCCCGGAAGTTGGGAAAGATGCGGTACAGCTGACCGTACAGCATGGCCACGTAGGACATGTATAGGGAATACCGGGGAATGTACAGATCCGCGTCGAAGAGCAGCGGAAACAGCGAGAAGTAGCCGGCAATGCCCAGAATGTAGGCGTATCGGGCATCCTCCCGGTTCACCAGGGTCAACAGACTGCAAGTGGGTGGGCACTGGGTTAGTGGGTCTCCTGGTTAGTGGGTTAATGTAGGGGCAAGCACTCACCAAAGCGGGATGAGCACCATTAGAATGGCCTTTTCGTGGACATGCCAGCCAAAGACGAAGGAAGAGCAGCCACACAGTACCACGGCTCGCAGGAAGACCAGTGGACTTTGACTGCAAGAAGGTATATAATTGGGATTAGATGTAGTTTACAATGCACCCTGCATCTTCTCCTTACTTCTTGGGACTGCGGAAGAGCTTCACGAGAATGGGGAGCATGAAAAGAACGGTCAAAGCGAACGTCACGGGTGGTGTGATGGCCGGCAGCACCGAGTGCCGGACTTCCTGCACTAATCCCGACGTGGTCGAGGTGCCGGCGTCCTGGACCTTCAATACGCTAGCGGCCATTTTGTCGGCGGTGTTGTAGAGTGCCCAGAAGTTGGGCGCCCAGTAGGCGTGCGTCAATCCGCGCTTGAATGGAAACAGGCGGGAAAACACCTGCGGCAACTGCTGCCAAAAGGGTCCGAAGGACACGGCGAACGGGGTGAGTCCCACAGCCAGCAGCTTGACAAGGGCGGCCACCGTGGACACCACATTCGCTTGCTCCAGGCAGTAGAATCTCAGCAGGTAGACCCCAAACGCGGGAGCCATGTACAGGAAGATATGCTTAAAGTTAAGCAGCACGGCGAAAGCGAAGGCGCTCCAGAGGAATCGCTGCCGGATGAGGGCGCCGATGCTCAGGAGTAGTATGCCAAACAGGAAGCCATTGTACTGGAAGTGGATGTGGTCCACGAAGAGCAGTCCCACGTTGAGCAGTAGCAACATGGAGCCGGCAAAATGCTGCTGGGTATCCCGAGCCAAGCCCAATGATCCCAGGCAGCTGCGCACGCCGAGCACATAGACCAGATCCGTGGCAATCACCGAAAGCCGCTGGAAGTAGACGGTGCCCTTGGACTCGTAGTTGAGGTTCTGCACATCCAGCATCCGCGGATCCACGTACTTGGCCACCTGCGACAGCATCCATTCGAAGTGGGCGAAGAAGGGCGGATAGTCCAGGGTCCACTCGCTGGTGGCCTCCACATACCAGCGCTCCAGGGGCAAACTGTGGGTGATGGCCAGCCAGTTGCGGTGTACCTCGAAGTCTGTGGAATGGCTATTGCATATGGTTTATTGGGCTTCATCACTGAATATGACAGCACACTTACTAGGCAGGAATCAGGAGGATCTTCAGGCCGGTGGCTATGCCCACCAGGTGCCAGAATAGGTCCTTCATCTTCGATTCTGCCGGGGATTGGGTTTGGAATCGTTTCTTATCAGCGGTGTGTGTTGTCCGATTGGCCCAGCCTAGCTATATCTAGCTTGGAAGTAGCCAGAATACATTTATCGACTGTCGCATTTCGTTAGCCAGATCTGGCTTGGAAGTAGCCAGAACGCACTTACTTTTTCTTTCTTTTCATAGCTGTAGATGGCGTATTGGTAAATGCCGACAATTAACAGGGCTGTTATAGCTGGCGTATTATTAACCGGACTGCTATAGATGGCGCTTTTTAAAACGCTGACAACAAACCTCTGCGCTGTTAGTTAACATTTATTTGCAGAGTGACCGCTTGGAATATTTAAAAAAAATAAAATGTTATGGTCATGTGCGTCAAATTAGCGTCGGCCTGTTAGCAACGAAAACGGGAACGGTGGAATATGGAACATGGGGCTCTTTTTATTTTTAAATTTTCTCGCTATTTGGGGACCAAATCGAAAAATCTAAAATGCTAGATTGTTAAGAAAGAAAAGATCTATCGAGCTAGGTAGGTTTGGGACACATACGAGGCCTATTAGTGTTTCAAAAATGCATTTGAAAAATCGTGTCCCCACAATTTTGTTAACTGCTCCCCTCACAGAGGTTGTGCCAATATGCACGATAAACCAAGCTATTAAGGGTTAATTCAAGCTCCTTGTCTGAAAGTTTCATCAAAATCAAACCCACAGTTTTCGAGAAAAAAGCCTAACAGTACCGCAACCTCGGATTTTCCCCATACAAAAAAGAGGGGCAAAAATGAAATTACCTACTGCTCCACTCCTAGAGGTTGTGCCAACATGCACGGTATATGGGTAGATAGGGGATAATCTAGGGACTGTTCTGTGAAAGTTTTATCAAAATCAAACCCACAGATTTTGAGAAAATTGCTTAACAGTTGGGGGTGTTAAAAAGGTTATTAAAAGGCCGTTTAATCCAGAAACGGAACCATTGGATACTAAGACATAAACCACAATGTAAACAGCTTAGCCATGACAATCATTCGACGCTAACTTTCTATAACTTTATACAGCTCTCACAGAGGTTGTGCCAACTTGCACGGTATCGCATTCGAAGGGGCATCATTATAGCTAATTTCTGAATAAATTACAGGCAATTCAAACCCACAGTTTTCGAGAAATTCAAGTCTTTTCAATTATGGCTTTTGCCACGCGGTCACACTGCCAAGGCCTGCGATAAATCGTATGACCCGTGACATCAACCATCAAAATATATATGCAAACTTTAATTAATTCATACAGCTCTCACAGAGGTTGTGCCAACTTGCACGGTATCGCATTCGAAGGGGCATCATTATAGCTAATTTCTGAATAAATTACAGGCAATTCAAACCCACAGTTTTCGAGAAATTCAAGTCTTTTCAATTATGGCTTTTGCCACGCGGTCACACTGCCAAGGCCTGCGATAAATCGTATGACTCGTGACATCAACCATCAAAATATATATGCAAACTTTAATTAATTCATACAGCTCTCACAGAGGTTGTGCCAACTTGCACGGTATCGCATTCGAAGGGGCATCATTAAAGCTAATTTCTGAATAAATTACAGGCAATTCAAACCCACAGTTTTCGAGAAATTCAAGTCTTTTCAATTATGGCTTTTGCCACGCGGTCACACTGTCAAGGCCTGCATATATATTTTGATGGTTGATGTCACGGGTCATACGATTTATCGCAGGCCTTGGCAGTGTGACCGCGTGGCAAAAGCCATAATTGAAAAGACTTGAATTTCTCGAAAACTGTGGGTTTGAATTGCCTGAAATTTATTTAGAAATTAGCTTTAATGATGCCCCTTCGAATGCGATACCGTGCAAGTTGGCACAACCTCTGTGAGAGCTGTATGAATTAATTAAAGTTTGCATATATATTTTGATGGTTGATGTCACGGGTCATACGATTTATCGCAGGCCTTGGCAGTGTGACCGCGTGGCAAAAGCCATAATTGAAAAGACTTGAATTTCTCGAAAACTGTGGGTTTGAATTGCCTGAAATTTATTTAGAAATTAGCTTTAATGATGCCCCTTCGAATGCGATACCGTGCAAGTTGGCACAACCTCTGTGAGAGCTGTATGAATTAATTAAAGTTTGCATATATATTTTGATGGTTGATGTCACGAGTCATACGATTTATCGCAGGCCTTGGCAGTGTGACCGCGTGGCAAAAGCCATAATTGAAAAGACTTGAATTTCTCGAAAACTGTGGGTTTGAATTGCCTGTAATTTATTCAGAAATTAGCTATAATGATGCCCCTTCGAATGCGATACCGTGCAAGTTGGCACAACCTCTGTGAGAGCTGTATGAATTAATTAAAGTTTGCATATATATTTTGATGGTTGATGTCACGGGTCATACGATTTATCGCAGGCCTTGGCAGTGTGACCGCGTGGCAAAAGCCATAATTGAAAAGACTTGAATTTCTCGAAAACTGTGGGTTTGAATTGCCTGAAATTTATTTAGAAATTAGCTTTAATGATGCCCCTTCGAATGCGATACCGTGCAAGTTGGCACAACCTCTGTGAGAGCTGTATGAATTAATTAAAGTTTGCATATATATTTTGATGGTTGATGTCACGAGTCATACGATTTATCGCAGGCCTTGGCAGTGTGACCGCGTGGCAAAAGCCATAATTGAAAAGACTTGAATTTCTCGAAAACTGTGGGTTTGAATTGCCTGTAATTTATTCAGAAATTAGCTATAATGATGCCCCTTCGAATGCGATACCGTGCAAGTTGGCACAACCTCTGTGAGAGCTGTATGAATTAATTAAAGTTTGCATATATATTTTGATGGTTGATGTCACGGGTCATACGATTTATCGCAGGCCTTGACAGTGTGACCGCGTGGCAAAAGCCATAATTGAAAAGACTTGAATTTCTCGAAAACTGTGGGTTTGAATTGCCTGAAATTTATTTAGAAATTAGCTTTAATGATGCCCCTTCGAATGCGATACCGTGCAAGTTGGCACAACCTCTGTGAGAGCTGTATGAATTAATTAAAGTTTGCATATATATTTTGATGGTTGATGTCACGGGTCATACGATTTATCGCAGGCCTTGACAGTGTGACCGCGTGGCAA